AGCAACATCACAACGTTGATTTGACCAGGCTACAGAGTCTGATTCAGGAAAGCGTCCAGCGGTTCCATAAATCACTGAAGCCATCTCTCTGGAGCTTCCCTCAACCATTCCCAGTATCCATCAAGGCACACCATGAAACATTGTCTGAGAACCATCCCTTCCTGATCCAGGAGACTGTTTTCCCATTCGACTAAGGCTGAAGTGGTCGGCCGATTTGATGGACAAGACAGGAAACTTATAAGTTATGCATGCACAATAACTTCAGCTTACAAAGTGCCACGTACCTGCTCATACGGAGGGCTTGAAAGTTCAGGCTAGCTGCTGTTACTTGAGCATCACCACAGAATCGTCATCTAAGGCACCGAACTTTTTACTCCCAAAATTTCGTGTCAATCTACGAACAGCGACATGAGGCTGGCTACATTGTGGCGCTCGAAGTCGAGAACATGACGATTTACGCCTCCAAGCACATCGGCCATATTGAACAGTACTTCATTGCAGTTGCCATGGTTTGCGCAGATTTCGTAACGACTCATAGTCCATCAAAAGAAATTTCAGCATCAAGACGTCGTGCTTCATCCCAGATCACGTGTTGGTTGATCCCCTGATTCTCCCTAAGACACGGCACAGTTGATCGGCGGACCCTGTAGGTCTCCCGTTCCCAGCCGCACCACACGGCTTGCGATAAGGTTCGTTTGCCCAACCCTTCGAGCATCGAGCTTAGGCAGTAAAAATGCAACACATGTAGATCGCGTTGATGCGTGTAGTTCTGAGTCCGAAACACGTGAACGTGTTGGTGCGTGGGAAGACCCCTAATTTGCCAGCAGCGTAACCTCCACGGCTTGCGCCTGCTATCACTCCTTGGAACACCGTGACAACGCAACTGCTCTGCAGTCTGCACATCTGCGAGAAGAAGCCTCAGCTTACGCGTGTGTGGAGACTATTCCGCACGCATAACAGACATTGAAAGCTTGCATCTTACGGGTGGGAGCTTGGGGATAGCTAGGCTGTAGCTGCTTGGCGGCGAGCAATCTTCAACCTCAGAGCTGAGGTTTCTTCTGTTGAAAGCCCGCATGGAAAAATGCGCCAAGTGCTGAATTTCTTCTTCGCCGTACTGGATGCGTCTGCAAGAAAACGCCAGCAGCCCGACCTGCCTCGCATGGATAAACAGCGATCAACACTTGAGAAAAGTGCTGGCTCGCGGGCGGCTCAATGAATCCGGAAGGTGTGCCTACCAAGTGCTCAGAAATTTCGATGGAAGCCATGCACGACAATGCCCTTATGAATGTGTCTTAAGATACGGTGCAGGACCGTTCTGGCCCGGGCATTATCAACCGGCTAGATTGATCCGAAGGACGCTTATGCTCGACAAGTATGGGAAGCGGGTCGTGCCCGCGACAACTGATAGTGATGCCGTAAACGGCGAACCGCAATTGAGTTTTTGACAGGTCACAAGTTTCAGGCCCGAGATCGAGGCCTCCTAGAGGGCAAAGAACCACGCTGTGGTCGTGGATACCGTTCTCAGGACTTTTCTTGTTGCCACTCTTCGTGTCTGAAATCGAATCCCGAGACTAGACCGTAGAGGAGCATCTTCTTGAAGATATTAGACGGAGGAGTCCTGAAAATCTTCGGTCAAGCTTGCAGCCCTGCAGCCCTGTAGGATCATGGTGCCCGAAGCACGGGTCGATCGCATGCGGACCTGGGTGGCCGGGCCGGTCCCCCCATGGAGCGGAGAACTACTAGTTGGGTAGACACGGTTATTCAGCCACGCATCATGAGGTACGGTAAAACCCAACACAGACGACTTGATCAAAAGCGCAATCACGAATTCTCGACTGAGGGATCTGCCAAAGGAACCTTAGGTAAGCCGACCAAGTCTGCAGCTGCTGCCCCGATCATGAGCCAGCAGCTATCGGAAGCCGGTCCTATTCTTCTGCAATCATTCTAGAGAAGCTCCGCATTGTTGGTGCTAACGAGGTTTCCTGTACTGGAATCTTGGTGTCTCGGCACATTGGACCCTGGAGATGTGTGGCTGAAGTCAATCACGACGCCACGAACGCCCAAGATGCAACATCTCTATCGTCAAGCACCGGAAATGTGTTGATATAAGCCAAGCAAGCCATAGGGCAAGTACGCTTTGAATCTCGACGCGAGGAACCATATTCTTCCTGAAATCATCGGAGGGGTACACGACATGCATTCATCGTGAACACCACTCTTGGGGCAAAAAGGGAAGAAGACCCACATCAAACCCCCGAAATCCGAAATTTAAACACCGAACCCCAGAGGAATGCCAGTCGTGAAGCTGGTTTTGGACAGCTTGCGGTAGATGCCAGAAATACCAAGGCCCGACGGCGAAGACGTGGTCACTATTAAGAGCAACAGTGATTGCCAAGTCTCTAGGGAGTGACGAGGTGATCCGTTATCTGACGATATGAGGGCCAACAGTGATCTAGCGTGATCAACTCTGCAGAGATGTTTCCGATAACCCGGTGGCATGAGGTGCAGAGTCCGAACAGACAAGGAAATTGTGACCTGTCATCACATCTCCTGCGCCAAAACTGCCTGGTGCAGAACCAGGGGGTCTCACAGCACAGACACCCGACCCCAGACACCCACTTTGCACTGGAGACGGCTCCTCCTCCAGTGCGTCTTAGCCCAGGCCGAGCTTTCGACGGCGGAGGGAAGCACTAGACGTTTTCAATCGACCCTCATCACTGCAATGTAGCATGGTGAAAGAGCTCGGCCCGATGAGCACTGGACGAGACGGACTGAATAGATGCCGGCTAGGTGCGGGGTTGTTTTCAGCACCTTCGTCAATACATTGGTGAAGGTGAGCTGGCGGGGTTCATGCAAGATCGCAGTAGGGTTTCCGAGGTTCTGACGAATGATTTGCAGTACTCTACAGCCAGATGTCGGGATGAGAAGCCCGCAATCTTTGAGTTAAGCAGGAAATCCCCTCGTGACTCGCGTCCAGCACCTTGCGCTGAGAACCATGAAAGCATTTGGGCGGGATAGTAGTCTGGCACAGTACCTGACCACTTCTCACAGCATCGCCTGGATGCATGGCTGCAGAATCGGGTTTTTCAGAAGCAGTGTTGGATGCCATGGTGATCAAAGCGGTGGAGCTTTGAGACGTGCGGAGCGCCGAGACCGAGATGGTTCAGTGACAGCTCTGATCCAAACCTTCTTGGTTCGTCTGCAAACACATTGCTGGGTGGCGCAGGGGCGAACTTCTGTCAACGCCACCTCGCTTCTAATACCTCTGGATGTCGCAAACGTGTTCTCGGGTCGAGGAACAGAAGCAACAGCCCCAAGGTATACCGGATAGACCGGATAGTATAGTGCTGCTGAGCCAGCATAGGTGCAATGGAGGGTTGTATGGCTGTACTGCTTGGGACGTAAGACAGCTAGGGATATTGTGATCGACACAGTCCGTGGAGCATGGTGTCGAGACAGAAGAGTTTGAACCCTCGAGACTCGGAGAACCCTTGTTGTCCTGTTTCTGGATGCTAGCAGCCGCAAGACAATCGCCCGGCCGGCTTGCAGTCCTAGTGGCAGAATTGGCAAAAATGCATGTCTCACTGAGCAAACTCGATGCTGAAACTGAACGGATTTGTCATCCAGTTGGGCACTGGCACGCCAGGCAGCTCTGTTGTTCCTGATGAGTCAGCTCATCTGGCATGCGGGTTGTTCCGAGTTTTAAGGGGTCCATTGTGTTCTGTCTGTCGCTCATTGGTGGGTGCCCCACAGTATGACCCCTCATTTCTTCAAATCGCCCCTTCCCGATGAGTTGTGGTGGGGAAGGAACCCCTGGACCCCCAACCTGCCTGCTCACCCGGGTTCTGGGCCCAAGGCTTGAGTTCCATCGCCTGTCCAACGACAAGTCATCAGGGACAGCAGAACCTCTGCGAACGAACCGTCCGAGATCAACCAACCATGATTGGAACTCCAACTATCTCTTCCTGGCATCCATCGATTGGCATCCAGATGATCAATGGACGCATTGAGATCGTCAGGGCCAACTCCATACCCCGCTCCACATTAGCGACTCCATGAACGTATCACAGCCTTCAACGTCCCTAACACCACCGCTCTACCAAATGCAGCATCCTCCTGCCCAAGCCTGCTGCCCCTCTTGTACAACTTGGATCCATATTGAAGTCCAGAACCTCTACTGCTGGCCAGTCAACCGGATTACGACAAACAGAATGCGGACAGGTCGGACTGGATCTTGCATTTTCCCCAGGTGACACCAGTGTCTTGGAACAGCCGAGTCCCCGAGTGCCAAGCGGCGCCTTGCCAAGCAGATTATGGTCCAGTACCCAAAGCGAGCATGTGTATTCAACGGTAGCTGCAGTATGTTAACGATACTATCCAGTCTGAACTCTCTGCTCCTACCCTTTGTAGCACCACCGCTTTCGGGCTTGCGGCAGAGAATGGAGCTCTCTGGTCTTATCAATCTACCGAGACTAGTCACCAACATGTCTTTGGTATAGGGCTAGCATTGATCGGTCTCTTCTTCTGAACCGAGAAAGACGTGTTCAACATGGGCCGCAAACAACCGGATGAGAAGGGCACAATGGCTGCCATTCCCAGAAGCACTGCCCCGTTGCCTGCGATGGACAGGGCCCAATACAGCTGTACCTCGGGATAACTTCAACGTGTTTTCTCTCCGAATGCAGTCATGGCCAGCCTCAGAGGGCTCGAACGGTTCGATTTCTCACCAACATTCCTCCGCCAACTTGTGGGTGCAGGTCAGTGTTCCCACGAGGATATACGTCCCCGGGTTCTGGGCCCGGGCCTATGGTGTATGCAAAGGTAGTCATGTAAAACGCCTCATGAGAAACGCCGCATGAGGAAATGGCCGGCTGCGATCACCAACTTGACATTGGCTTGTCCCTGGTTCTATATAGAGGCATGGCGTATCTCTCGTTAGATCCCGGCGTTTCTCCTCGACTCCTACCAACAACAGAGCATCGACACAGCTCATCGACAACATGAGCAACCACATCAGCTGGCTTGGTCTGGCGGCCTTGTCATCCATCGCGAGATTGCCCCTTGCTGATGCCCGTGTCCTTATCAAAGACACTGGGGTGGCCAACAACAACGACAACCTCCTCCTCGGCCGTGGCGAACATGATAACACATGTTCTTCGGTCATAATCAATATCGACCCCGCCCGCTATGGCTGCGGACCTGGACAGCTTTCCGTACTCGATACATGTCAGGACCTCATCTTCGGCTCAGACCCGCTTAGCTGTGCTGGCAAAAGGTGCTGGCCTGGTCAGTGGTGTGACGAAGATGTCTGCCGCTCGATCCAGGTCCTCGCGAGCCCTCTTCAGTGTGGCCCTGCCAAAGAAGACTGTGGCAGCAACCAGGTCTGTGTCAACGGCGTGGTGCAACCCATTGATACTGGTTTCAACGGCACGAGCTGCGGAGCTGAAGGCTCCCACAAAACTGCCTGCAATCCTGGCTGGGCTTGCTACGCAAATTCATGTACACCTATCACTCTCGGATCTAATGGCTGTGGCCCAAAGGACGCTGAGTGCACCTACGAGCACCTCATCATTGGTACCGACTCAACCCACTGCGGCTCCAACGAAACCGCGTGCGACTCTGGAAGTCTCTGTGTCTCCTCCGAATGCTTGCCCCTGGACTTAGGAGCCGGGGAGACATGTGACAACGTCGCTCCTGGCAGCATCTGCTACGATGGCGAAGTCATTCCTATTCACATCAGCACAGACAACACCACCTGCGGTGAGCCAGTTGCGCACTGCGAGCCTGGCTCGGTCTGTGTCTCTGGCGTCTGCATCAGCGATTTGTACGACCCCAGTTGCGGCCATGGCGACAAGCCTGGATCTGGCAGCGCCGCCGGCGGCAACTCCAAGCCTCACCATGACGGCAACCGCAAGCCCGTTCACGGTGACCGACCCTCAAACACCATCTGGAGGCCTGAGCCAATCTGCCCACCTGGCAAGGTTCAAGCCGGCCGTCTCTGCGTCGATGTCTTTGGAGACGCCAAAGACTGCTCCGGCAAGCCATGCTCCTCCAGCTCACTCTGCTGCCGGGGACGCTGCATTGACTTCGACGTTGGATCTGGCGCGTCTGGCTGTGACGGAAAGTGCGGTGACGGCTACTTCTGCTACGATAAGGAGTGCTATCCTTCCGAGATTGAGCCCGTCCTGCAGTGCGGCTTGCAGCAGTGTGCTCCTCACCAGGCCTGCCTTGGCGGTAAAGTCTGTCTTGACGTTACCGGCGATCCGCAGAGCTGCGAGAACAGCGAGCCATGCCCCGCGAACAACGTATGCATACTCGGAAGCTGTGTCTCCGTCGACACTGGCGAGGACCCCAATGCGTGCGGACCCAAAGCCCTGACATGCCCTCCTGGCACTCTTTGCTTGGACTCCGAATGCATCTCTGCCGGCATCCCGGGTTTCCCTGGTGGACCTGGCATCCCTGGCTTCCCTGGCGGACCTGGCGGACCTGGCTTCCCTGGCGGACCTGGCTTCCCTGGCGGCCCCGGCGGCCCCGGCGAACCTGGCAAGCCAGGCAAGCCAGGCGGTTCGGGCGGCGTTGGCATCCCTGGCGGAAAGCCTGGTCCCGACGAGTCTGAGTGCAACCCCTCGTGCGGCGACGATTCTCTCTGTATCGCCAATGAGTGCCGCGTTCTTGGAAATCCGGATGACTGCTTCAGGGACTCTGCCCGACTCAAATCTCGACAGACCCCATCATCACCTCGCCAATGTACGTCTTTTGAGACCTGTCTCGACGGCGAGTGCGTGCCCGTTGAAGGTCCTGGAGCTTGCGGCTCCGACTGCGTAGCTCCCTTCAGCTGCGTTCTGGACTCCTGTGTACGCACTCCACCTACTGGCACGCCAGATGGCTCTGGAGAGCCAGGCGAGCCCCTTGCGTGTGGTGCCAACGGCCCCTGCGACGACGGCGAGGTTTGTGTCGAGAACAAGACTTGCATCAACCTTGGCACCGACCCCCAGAACTGCGGCACCGTTGACAGACAGTGTCCCGATGCCTCCCCTCTTTGCATTGCGGGCATCTGTCGAGGCGCAGCTTCTCCCCAGTGTGGAGCTGACCCCTGCCTGCCTGATATCGAGATTTGCATCAACAACATCTGCATCAACCCCTCTACCGACTTGAACAACTGCGGTACTCCTGGAAACAAGTGCTCCGCCGGTGAAGTCTGCGCAGCAGGAGTTTGCCAGCGTCCTGAAGGCCCCAATCCTCCTGGCCAGTGCGGAACTACCGCTTGCGCACTCGGCGAAATCTGTGTCGATGGAAACACATGCGTCAACCTGAGCAATGATCCCGATAACTGCTCAACTCCTGGCAACGCCTGTCCTGAAGACAACCCTCTCTGCCTGACGGGCGTCTGCACCGAATTGCCTCCTGCGCAGTGTGGCACCGAGACTTGCGTGGGCAACCAGATCTGTCGCAACAACCTTTGCGTAGACCCTTCTGTCGACGACAACAACTGCGGCCCCGACCTGGTTCAGTGCACCAGCCCTCTTGTTTGCCAGAGTGGCGTCTGCGCGCCTCTGACTGGCCCTGACGACCCCGTTACTGGCCCCGGCGACCCTGTGACTGGTCCAGGCAAAGAGGGTGGTGCCTGTGGCCTCAACCTGCCCCTTTGTGGCGAGCCTCTTCTCTGTCGTGGCGGTGAATGTGCCGTTCTGGGAGTGCCCGGCGGCGAGGGTGACGTCAATGACGCATGTGGACCTGGTTTGCCTCCATGCCGGAGCTCTCTGAGCTGCCAGAACAACATCTGCTTTCCATCCACTATTCCTCCTGGTGGTGATGATGGCGGCGTGACAGGCGATGCCTGTGGCCCTAACCTACCTCCTTGCGAGAGCACTCTCGTCTGCCAGAACAACATTTGCGCGCCACCCATTAGCGGACCCGGTGATACTGGCGGAGGTGAAGCTGGCAACGCTTGCGGGCCCCGATCTTGCTCTCTGCAAGGCACCACTTCGCTGCCTGAACAACGTCTGCTTCGGCCCCCTGACAACTCCTGGCGGCGACGATGGCGGTAACCTCGGCGATGCTTGCGGTCCTGCTCTGCCGCCTTGTCAAGCTACCCTTCTGTGCCAGAACGCTGTTTGCCTGCCCCCCATCGGTGGTCCTGGCGATGGAGGTAAAGGCGAGCTTGGAGATGCTTGCGGCGCTGGCTTGCCCCCTTGCCAGTCTACCCTTGAGTGCCAGAACGCCATTTGTCTGCCTCCTAACCCTGGCTCTGGAGGTGACGGTGAAGGCAGCCTCGGCGATGCCTGTGGCCCCGAGCTTCCTCCCTGCGAGTCCAACCTCGAGTGCCGCAACAATATTTGCCTTGCGCCTGTCAACGGCGGCAACGGTGGCGGCGCTCAGGGCGATGCCTGTGGCGAGGGTCTTCCCGAGTGCCAAACAACACTCGAGTGCCAGAACAATATTTGTCTTCCTGCCATCGATCCCATCCTCAACAACGGTGGCGAGCAAGGCGATGCTTGCGGCGAGAATCTCCCTGCTTGTAGCACAGGCCTCGAATGCCAGAACGAGATTTGTCTGCCTCCTATCACCCCCGGCGGCGACAATGGCGGTGAAAACGGTGATGCCTGCGGCGAGGGACTCCCCGAGTGCCAGGCTCCGCTTACCTGTCAGAATGCCATCTGTCTTCCCGAGATCGCCGGCCCTGGAGATGAAGGTCAACAAGGCGATGCTTGCGGCCTCAACCTTCCCACCTGCGAGGCACCACTCACCTGCCAGGGCAACGTCTGTTCGCCTCCCGAGATCGGTATCCCCAGCGGCCCCACTGACGGCTCCGAGGGCGCCAACTGCGGAAGCAACCTGGCACCCTGCCAGTCTCCCTTGACCTGCCAGGCTGGTATTTGTCTCCCTGTCGGTGGTCCTGGGACGGGCGGTCCTGGAGCCCCCTGTGGCGATGGCGTCGGTCCCTGCATCTCCCCCCTCACCTGCGAGGACGGTGTCTGCCTGCTGCGAGAGGATCCAGGTGACGGCAATCTTGGTGATGAGTGCAGCGCGGACAAGCCTTGCCTCCGGCCCCTCTCTTGCGAAGCCGGCATTTGTGTCGGACCTGGAAACCCTGGTGAAGGCGGCCCTGGCGATGCCTGCGGCGCAGAATCTCCTTGCAAGGCTCCTCTTCAGTGCCAGAACGATATCTGCCTCGCGCCCTCCGACGGTGGCGAAGACGCCCCGGGAGGACTGGGAGACGACTGCAACGCTCTCTCGCGCAGCGCAGCGGAGCCCTGTCTTGCTCCCCTCACCTGCGAGAATGGCAAGTGTGCTTTGCTGGCCGGCCCGGGCGCCGAGTGCAACGACGACACGCCTTGCCGCAGCCCTCTCGAGTGTCAGTCAAATGTCTGCATTGCGCCCAATGCAGGAGGCGGCGATGCAGGAGGCCCCGGTGATGCTTGTGACCCTGAGTCGCCCTGCCGTCTTCCTCTCCAATGCCAGGAAGGCAGCTGCGTCAACCCTGGCAACAACAATGATGCGTGCGACAATGACACACCATGCAGGACTCCCCTTACTTGCCAGGAGGGCACCTGTCTTCCACCCACTGAGCAGGCCGGCCCCGGCGATGCCTGCAACGCTGAGACCATCTGCGCTGCTCCCTTTGAATGCCGCAACGACGTCTGCGTGGCACCGACGACGAACCCTGACGAAGGCAACCTGGGCGATGATTGCAGTGCTGAGAACCCGTGCCGCAGTCCACTCGGCTGCGAAGCTGGCAAGTGTGTTCTCCTTGGCGCCGCTGGCGATGAGTGCGCCGACAACAAGCCTTGCCGGACCCCCTTGACCTGCCAGTCTGGAACCTGCGCTGTCGACCCCGGCCTCAACAACGGCGGCGGCGGCGGAGCTGGCGATCAGTGCAATGAAGCCAACCCCTGCGCTACGCCTCTCGAGTGCCGCAACGACGTCTGTGTCCTCCCTGGCGCGCCTGAGCTTGGCGACCTTGGCGATACCTGCAGTGGCGCGACCCCGTGCCGCAGCCCCTTGGACTGTGTGGCGGGCATCTGTGCCAACCTTGGCGGCGCTGGCGACCAGTGTGATGACAACGCCCCGTGCCGAACGCCTCTTCTATGCCAAACCGGTACTTGTACCGCCCCGGATCTCGGTAACGAGCTCCCACCCGACGGCGGAGAAGGTGGCGGCGGTGCCGGTGCTGGTGATCAGTGCAACGAAAACACCCCTTGCCGGACGCCTCTGCTCTGCCAAGCCGGTACCTGCACCGTTCCCGGTCTCGGAAACGAGCTCCCCGGCGGCGGCGGCAACACTGGTGGCCTTCCCGGCGATGAGTGCAGCACTGAGAAGGCCTGCCTCGCACCCAACGAGTGCGAGGCCAACATCTGTGTCGCCCCCGCGGGCCCCGGAGGCGGCGGCAACAGCGGTGACAGCTGCGGACCTGAGACGCTGTGCAATGTTCCCCTCCTCTGCGGTCCCTCCAACGTCTGCGTTCTTCCTGGAGGTCTGGCGGATACTTGCTCGAACGAGGCGCCCTGCCGGCCCCCTCTTACGTGCCAGAACGGTGCCTGTGCTGTCGCCGAAACACCCGCCGGAGGTCTACCAGGCGATGTCTGCAGCACCGAGCAGCCCTGTCAGACGCCCAACGAGTGTTCTGGTGGTGTTTGCGTCATTCCTGGCGCCGGGCCCGGAGCCGGCGGCAACTCAGGCGATGCCTGCAGCACCGAGAACCCTTGCAACGTGCCGCTCGTCTGTGGCCCGACCTCTGTGTGTATCCTCCCCGGAGAGCTGGATGCTACCTGTTCCAACGATGCTCCATGCCGCACACCTCTGGTCTGCGAGTCTGGCGTTTGTGCTGTCGACCCTGGTACGAACAACGGAGGCGGTAACAACGGCGGCTCCGGCGGCTCCGGCGGTCCGGGTGACGCCTGCGCTGCAGTCGGTGACTGCCAAGCAACTCTCGATTGCCGTGCCGGCGTCTGTGTCATCGTGCAAGGACAAAGTGGTGGTGATCTTGGCGATAGCTGTTCCACCGTCGTCGACATTCTCCGCAGGTCTGCCGCGAACGTCTGCAACCTTCCCCTGATCTGTGGTCCCGCCAACACATGTATCTCTCCGGTTGATCTCGACGGTGTTTGCACCGATCAGGCGCCCTGCCGCTCGCCACTCGTCTGTCTTTCCGGCGTCTGCGCAGTCGGGTCTCTCCCTCCCGCCGCAGGCGGCAATGCTGGCGACACCTGCAGCCTCACCTCGCCATGTGCCCTGCCGCTCATCTGCGGCCCTGCCGGTACTTGCATCTCGCCGGTGGATCAGGACGGCGCTTGCGATGACGACAAACCGTGCCGTACGCCCCTGACCTGCCAGTCCAACGTCTGTCTCCCTCCGACATCCACTGGTGGAGATGGCGGTGTCGGACTCGGCGGCGCCTGTGGTGAGGGCGCCATCTGCTTCTCTGCTTTCGAGTGCCTCATCAACATTTGCATCGACCCCAACAGCAATGGCGGAAACAACGGTGGCAACAACGGTGGTGATGCTGGCGGCCCCGGAAGCCAGTGCAGCACCGAATCTCCTTGTCTTCTTCCTCTTGTGTGCGGCCCTGCCGGCACATGTCTGCTGCCCGCCGCCGAGAATGGGCAGTGCAATGGCGACACCCCCTGCCGCTCGCCCCTCACTTGCCAGTCTGGCGTCTGTCTTCCCCCCGTCACCATTCCCGGTGGTGGTGGTGGTGATGGTGGCATCCCTGGTGGTGACACCGGTGCTGGCGCCGGCGCTGCCTGCAACGACCAGACGCCCTGCGCAACACCTCTCCAGTGCAGCAACAACATCTGCGTTGTCCCTACTCCTGGTGGTCGCAACCTCGGCGAGAGCTGTGATGCTACCAATATCTGCTCGCTGCCCCTGGCCTGCGAGGCGGGCACTTGCACCAGCCTGCGCAACATTGACGAGAGATGCGACGGCACGCTCATCTGCCGTTCGCCCTTGACCTGCGGCGAGAACGGTCGTTGCGCGGCCCCGACGACGACGACGCCGAATGTCCCTGATCTTGGACAGCTTGGCGACGATTGCAGCGCTACCCTTCCCTGCATCCCAGCTCTCGTCTGCGGTGCCGCCAATGTCTGCGCCACGCCAGGTGTCGATCTCGGCGCCAGTGGTGAAGCTTGCAGCGAGACGAAGCCTTGTCTCCCTGGCCTCACCTGCGGCTCTGACAACACTTGCGGCCCCATCACGACCATTCCCAACCCACCTGAACCTGGCCCTCTCGGAGCGCCCTGCAGCGCTACCCTGCCTTGTGTGACGGGGCTCATCTGTGGCGCCGGCGACATCTGCGCCGAGCCGGAGACGGACCCCGTCATTGTCACACCCCAGCCCGGTGACGTCGGCGATGCTTGCAGCTCGACCTTGCCCTGCCTGTCCACGCTCATCTGCGGTACCGATGACAAGTGCACCTTGCCCTCACCGCAAACCCCTGGTGGCGCCGGAGATGTCTGTGGTCCTCTGAAGCCGTGCGAGAGTCCCCTGTTCTGCAGCGAGGGTCTCTTCTGTGTTGATACAACTATTACTCCTCCCGCCGGCGGCAACGTCGGAGAAGCTTGCAGCTTCACACTTCCCTGCCTGAGTCCCTTCCTCTGTGAGGGCGAAGTATGCATCCCCGCCACTGGCGGACAGGGACAAGGTGGTCTCAACGACGAGTGCAGCACTGACAAGCCCTGTATCTCGCCCCTCATCTGTGGGAGCGAGAACAAGTGCACGACCGCCCCTGCTGCTAATGTGCCTGGAGCTGTCGGCGACACATGCAGCGTTATCGGCGACTGCGCAACTGGCCTCGTCTGCGCCGAGAGCAAATGTGCCCTGCCTCCCGTTGTCCCTGGCAAGCTCGGCGCCACCTGCGGCGACAACCAGCCTTGCGAGACTCCTCTCGTCTGCGGCACTGGCAACGTCTGCGCGGCCCCGCCTCCTGGTGATCTCGGTGCCACCTGCGGCACCCTTCAACCCTGTGCCGCGCCTCTTGTCTGCGGCGAGGGTGACATCTGTGCGACGCCCCCTCCGGCTGGCAGTGGTCAGCCCTGCGGTCCTAGCCAACTTTGCGCCTCGCCTCTCGTCTGCGGCTCGTCCAACGTCTGCGAGGACGCCCCGACCGACGTTCCCGGAGGTGCTGGCGCTGCCTGCAGCGCACAGAAACCCTGCTTGGCTCCTCTCGTCTGTGGTGAGTCCAGCACGTGCGAGACGCCGACGGTGACCCCCGGTGCTGTCGGTGAGTCTTGCAGCCTTACCGCGCCCTGCCTGAGCCCGCTTCTCTGCAACAGCAACGTCTGCGAGGCGCCTGTCGTCAACACACCGGGTGGTCCCGGCGAAACCTGCAGCGAGACCCGTCTGTGCCGCGCGCCCCTCGTCTGCGGCAGTGGAAAGACGTGCGAGACACCGGCCGGGACGCCCGGCAACGTCAACGACCCCTGCAGCGCGACCCGACCCTGCTTGAGCCCCCTGCAGTGCTCTGGAAGCGGCACCTGTGTGGCCGGCGTCACCCCGCCTGTCACCGGCGAAACCTGCGGAGCCGGCCGTTGCACGAACGCCCAGATCTGCATCCAGAGCCCCATTGGCAATTCTCTTGTCTGTGTAGCCCTCGCTCCCGGGCCCCAGGGTGGTAACGCGGGCACCAACTGCGGCAACACGGGTCGCGCGTGCTCGTCAGCCGAGGTCTGCATTGAGTCTGTCGCGCTTCCCGGCTCCTACATCTGCGTCAACCTGCCTACTATCGGCGGCAACACGGGCGGCAATGGTGGAACAACTACACCGCCAACCGGCGGCGGCGGCGGCGGCGAGGGCGAGGGCGGCGAGACACCTTCAGGAACCAAGTGCGGCAGTGCTACCTGCCCCACCGGTCAAACATGTCTGAGTGCCGCTACCAGCTCGTGCGGCCTCTCTGGCGACGCTGGCACGACAACGCCCGCGCAGAACACCCAGTGTGGCGACAAGGTCTGCCCGGGCGTACAGATCTGCATCAACCTCGGTCCGTTCAGCTTTGGCGGCAAGGTCTGCGGCCTCCCAGGCGAGACGGGCGTTACCCTCGGCACCGGCATCCTCTGCGGCAACATACGCTGCGGACCTTTCCAGCGCTGCGAGGATGCTACGCGCAGCAGGTGTACCTTCAACCCCTTTAGCGGCACCAACACAGGACCCTCGACCGGCGTCAGCGCTGGTGGTGAGGGCTCTGTGACCGTGCCCGGCGGCACCGTCGGATCTGGAGGTATTGTGATCTCTGGCTCCAACTGTGGCACCGGTGGTGTCTATGTCTGTGCCAATGCCGGTGCCAACGTTGGCGGTGGTGTCAATGCTGGAGCCAATCAATGGATATCTATATATAACGCCGGAGCCAATGCCGGCGCCAATGTCGGGGCAGGCGGTGTCAATGCTGGAGCCAACGGCGGTACCGGTGGTGTCAACGCCGGAGCCAATGCCGGCGCCAATGTCGGGGCAGGCGGTGTCAATGCCGGTGCCAACGTCGGCGGTGGTGTCAATGCTGGAGCCAACGGCGGTACTGGTGGTGTCAATGCCGGTGCCAACGTCGGCGGCGGTGTCAATGCTGGAGCCAACGGCGGTACCGGTGGTGTTAATGCCGGAGCTAACGGAGGTGCCACTGGCGGTGTCAATGCCGGAGCCAACGGAGGTGCTAGCGGTAGTGTCAACGCCGGAGCTAACGGAGGTGCCACTGGCGGTGTCAACGCCGGAGCCAACGGAGGTGCCACTGGTGGTGTCAATGTCGGTGCCAACGGAGGTGTCACTGGTGGTGTCAATGCCGGTGCCAACGGAGGTGCCACTGGTGGTGTCAATGCCGGAGCCAACGCTGGAGGTGGTGTCAATGCCGGAGCCAATGGAGGCGCCAACGGAGGCGCTACCGGCGGTGTGAACGCAGGAGCCAACGCTGGAGGCGGTGTCAACGCCGGCGCTAACGTTGGTACTGGTGGTGCCAATGCCGGCGCCAATGTCGGGGCAGGCGGTGTCAACGCCGGGGCCAACGCCGGCGGATCAGGTGCCAACGCTGGTGCCAACGGAGGTGCCAGCGGTGGTGTTAACGCCGGAGCGAATGGTGGTGGAGGAGTCAATGCCGGAGCCAACGGAGGAGCCAGCGGTGGTGTTAACGCTGGTGCCAATGCCGGCGGAGGCGTCACCGCTGGTGCCAATGCCGGCCGAGGCGTCACCGCTGGTGCCAATGCCGGCCCAGGCGTCACCGCTGGTGCCAATGCCGGCGGAGGCGTCACCGCTGGTGGCAGCAGCAGCGGCGGCAACACACAACAGCCTGCCGGCGCTGGGCAGCGTTGCGGCGGCATTCTCGGATTCGGCTGTCCTCCCTTCACCAGGTGCGAGGGCAAGACTTGCGTCGCCTTCGGCATCGGCTTCGGCATTGGTGCTTAGGAGATGGTCATCGTGGCAACGATACGATGGCTTCCCGGTTCCTTTTGTCTTTTCTTTTGTATTTCTTCTTCTCATGTATAAAGCTGAACGGGGATTGGCCGGGACCATCCCTCGGTGTTGTAATGGGGTCGGCAAACGGGTCAACAGGACACTTCGTGGCTTTCTCTGGTGGTCTGACACTTCTATGAAAAGGCCCTATAGGCCTCTATTTAATTCGCATGTCGCCGAGCCTTGAAAGCTCAGCGCAGGCTTTTCAACTGATTCAAGTTGACAATTCCTCTCTGAACCTAAGGGACGTGACTGAAAGAGCTGACCAGCCAATGGCCACTGTAGTGTAGGTGACTGCCTTGTTGAGATTGCAGCATGTGGCTAGCTTGGCGGCTCAGCCATCTCCGCCTTAGCGGCGATTCATAACAAGATCGCCTTGAGTGAATCTAGATGGTCTTTCGAGGCTTCCTGCTCGTGTATCGTTGTCAAACCATCATTACTATGCAAGGCTGGCTGCGGGGCACCTGTTGCTTGACAGAAGTTACAGATGAAAGGGGGCCAAGCGTTACGAGGGGTTACGTATAAGGAGGATTGCCGTCCCAAGTATGAAGAGGGTGTCGATTACTCACCTGATTCGAGACCCCTAAGAGACAGGCTCGTCGCGAGACTCCTTTGACGATCAGCTGGATACAATGTGCATCTTACTCCTCAAGCCATGACAGAGTGATATATCACGGCTACAAGATACTAGCACGTGGTTGAACAGAACGACGCACGACGCCTTGATTTTGGTGGACACACGAGAGAGTGGCGATGCCCGACTAATCTCTTCGTATAGACATAAGGATCCTGTCGCCACGCGGAGTCATTAGAACCGTACCAACTGTTGGATCCCTCAGAGCGGGGTAGCCTTCCCTAGGTACAGTACAACACCTTGCCTAATGCCCAGCTTTCTCCTATGGTTATCTCTGCACTGCTTTTTCGGCTAAGAAATGCCGGCTTCCCACCTCTGTCAGCGGTCTCGAACACGAATTGGGGGCTAGCCGAAAGCTGAACTGACGCTATTGCAATCTCGAGACCACTAGGGGACTGATCTAATCAGATGATCTTATCAGATCACCTCTCTAGCCTACTTGAGCTTCAGCTTGTGCCGCACCACACACACACACAAAAAAAAGAATGCGCTGATGGGGGAGTAGCCAGGGTGAGGAGGGGCCTGCCTGCATGGTGGCTTGCGGCGTCGACGAGGGATTTCATCGAGCTTTGGGCCGCGGCCTTGTCGTCCGCTGTGAGGGTTTCTCTTTTCGCTTTCGTGCGTGTCGCGACGGGCAATCGAGTCGACTGTTTCTCCCGACAGCGTGCCGCGACATAGGCGTTAACAATGTTTGGCGTCTCCAACTCGCTGCTGGCCTTTAGTGCCGCTGTGGCGGCCCTGGTGTTTGGCGTCTTCAAGCTCGTGCGCGCGCGCCTGTTTTTCAGACATCTCGTGAGTCTCTCCCATCGAGCCTCAATCTCATGACACAGGCCCATCCCGCGCCAAACCTAGCTTAACAATGAACTGACTGCGAGGGGGGGGATAACAGCCTCAACCGCCAGGCCACTCGCTCCTGTTCGGCCACATTGGCGTCTTTCAGGACGTCATGGCGCGGTTCCCGGCCAACACGCACCCGCAGCACTTTTACACGTACATGTCGCACAAGTTTGCGCTGCCGGGCATCTTCTACATAGACACGTGGCCCTTTATGGAGCCGCAGATGGTCATCACGGACCCGGACGCCGCGATGCAGGTGCTCTCGGTGAGCTCGTACCCCAAGCACCCGACCATTGAGAACTTTCTGCGCCCCTTCACCGGCAAGGACAGCATCGCGGCGTCCAACGGCGAGCGCTGGAAGGCGAACCACCGCATGGTCGGCTCGGGCTTCACGCCGACGTACGTCAAGCCCATGCTCGGCATGATTGCCGAGCAGGTGCTCGTCTTCCACGCGCGGCTGCGCGCCCTGGCCCGTGACGACGCCGCCTTTTCGATGGAGGAGGAGAGCGCCAAGATGGTCTTTGACGTTGTCGGCAAAATTGTCTTTGGGTACTCGCTTGAGGCGCAGCGGGAGGGGTCGCCGTTGCTGCACGACCTGCGCGGGTCCATCAGCCCGGCGACGACGGTGCTCGGCAGCTGGAACCCGCTCGCGAGGCGGCGCGCGCGGGCCGAGCTCGAGGCGCTGAGGAGGCGGGTGCACGATACGCTCGCCGCGTCCATGACGGAGAGGCACCAGACGTTCTTGGACGAAAAGGCGCTGCCTTCGAGGCGCCAGGCGAGGAGCATCATGGATCGCATTGTTTTGGACCGCATCCAGGCGTCGCCGGGTGTGCCTCTTGACGAGAGGTTCTTCGAGGACGCCGTTACCAAGTGAGCATTTGTTGTCCCTTGTTTTGGTGCCCGTTTTCGTTGCCCCTTATTTTGTTGCCCGTTGTTTTGCCCCTTAAGAGCGGAGGAGAGACAGCGGTAATGAACGTTGAACGAGCTAACCAATACAGCCTGAAAGCACTGCTGCTCGGCGGCCACGGCACAACGACCGACACGTTCACCTTTGCAGCGATGCTCCTGAGCGTGCACCCCGAAGCCATGGCGCGTCTGCGCAGGGAGCACGACGAGGTGTTCGCGCCGGGCCTCGACGCGACGGTCGCGCTGATCGAAGAGGACCCCAAGCGGACCAACAGGCTCGAGTACACCAACGCCATCATCAAGGAGACGCTGCGCTTCTTCCCCATCGGCTTCACCATCCGCGCGGCGCCGCCGGGCACGACGTCGCTCTCGTGGCAGGGGCGCGCGTACCCCGTCGAGAGTGTCATGGTCGTGCCGTGCGCGCACACGTCGCACATGGACGCCTCGCTCTGGGGCGATCCCAAGGTCTTCCGCCCGGAGCGCTTCCTCGGCGAGGAGGGGGCGGCGACGCACCGGTATGCGTGGCGGGCGTTCGAGAGGGGGCCGCGCGCGTGTATTGCGCAGGATCTGGCCATGGATGAGCTGCGGGTCATGCTGCTGCTGACGGCGCGGTGGTTTGACTTTGAGACCGTGGTCGAAGGCACGAGTGAGAGGGTGATGTACATGGATCTCGACAAGCTAGTGGGCGATCTGGCGTTCCAGGAGATTGGCATGGAGGCGCGGCCTAGGTCTAGCATGAGGATGAGAGTGAAGCTCCGGGAACCGGCTTCATCTCAGGAGTAGGTCAGACGTGAATGGATGCTGTTCGAAGTCAGAGGGTGCCTCTGGCCTGCGTCTGATCCATCTCTTGACGTTCATTCTGCAGAGGCTTTCCTCGGCCACGATCCAGCAACTTATGAGGCGTCTCCTGAATTAATTACCCCCTTTCGAGGCCTAGACGAGACGCATCTTGGAACTCCATGTGTACACGAGTGAGGTGAGAGCTGGAGGGAAGCGAGGCCAACAGTAGTATGACGCCACGCTGTGGTTAGTTACTCTCTGATACAGCAAAACAGTCTCTCTTGGGCATTACTGTCAGTCAACAGGTTCATGGCATATCCATCCGTTTTGAGACGTCATTTTCATGCAAGAAGCACCACGCAAGAGCAAGCAGAGGGCCACGTGCGAGTCCGATCTCAAAGGTGGCCATGAGTCGGCCGTGTATTGCGTCGTATTCGCAGAAGGAAAAAGAGCTCTACGCCAACGGCGACGATATGCAGAGGCAGACAAATGGGTGAGATTTACAGACATGTCACACTGGGGCTCATCGGAAGCCCCTCGCAGGGTGATGGCGCGAAAAAGAGCCCACGGAAAAGAGCGCGCTCGCCTCAGCAAATCTCCCACAGGGGCCGCGGAAGGTCATAAATGGCGTTGGGCCCCCTGTGTTTGGTCTCGAGTTGTTTCGAGCCAATGTAGACTACGCGTCGGGCGGGTGTCCCCGTCGTGACGGAGCGCGACTCGAGGCCGTAGTAGTCGGAGATGGAGTGTGTGAGCCAGCGCCTGTGAGAAGAACAGTCAGTAAGCGAATCGTCGTTGGCCGTGTCTAGGGAAAACAAACTTGAAAGACGCGCTCTCGTCATCGCCGAGCTCATCAAATACAACGCCTGTCTCGAGGTTGCCGCTGCCGTCGTCGCGCGTCGCCTTCTTCCAGCCCTGCGCCTTGGCAGCGGCGGCAGCAGGCGTGGGCTGGTTCTTGCGGCCAACAAAGACAATCTCCTCGTCCTCGCTGTCCAGGCCCTCGGCATCCGTGTCCTCGTCTACGGGGGCGTCGCCGCGCTGCTGGCGCACAAAGTTGCGAACGGGCTCCTCGAGGAAACGGACCCAGTTCTTGATGGCGGGGGACCGCTTGGTGTAGTCGCGCAGGTCGCGCGGCACCATACCGGCGCCGCGGCCGGTGGCGGATCCATTGGCGAGCTGCTGCGTCTTGCGGCGGGCCTGTTGGGCGAGAGACTTTGTGTCGAGACGCTGACGGACAGAGGCTGACGTGGGCGAGTCGCGATCCCAGAAGGCGGCGAGGTGGTAGGGAACGTGGTGGATGGGGTGTGTCGGGCGAGGCTCAAAGTCGGAGGGGATGGGCGGCTGCGCGTTGGGCACGCCGATGAGGCGGTCTGGAGGGAGACGTTGTCAGCACGTGGTAACGTAGGAGGGGGTTGAGGCGTGTCTCGCAACGGACAAGCCAGGCCTGTAGCCAAGGGGGAGCTCACCATTCTCCCAACGGCGGCGCTGTCGGCTGCCTTCGCTGCCCTTCAGCGCCGCATCTCTCGACTTCAAGCTGTCACGACGGCTCAGGGGCCTTCGAATGGGGTCTGCACGCGGATCGACAGCTATGGTAACCGTTCGTCTCGTCCCTTCAGCCTGGGTCTTGTCTTCCTTCTGCTTGGGAGCTTCGTCCAGCGGGATGGTGAGTGGCGAACCGGTGCCTCGCGCGATAGGACTGACGCTCAGGGACTGGAGGGCGGAGATGGTCCAGGCTTCAATGTCGATGACGCCGGGCGGTGTCGCATGGTTGATCTGGCGTGAGGGAGTCCTTGGCGACGGCGAGGCTGCCTTAGCAGCTGGTGATGCAACGGGACGCGGGGCCTCAGATGGAGGGGGTACGGCGCTGTAGAGGCCAGGCATGGTGGCGATGCAGGGTAGCAATTGCCAACGGGGGATGGGTGTGATGGGGAGTCCTGAGTGACCAATGGCTCGTTCGAGGGTCAAGGAGATGAATGATGCAAAGGGTAAAGATGCCTCTGGTGATCTGACAGAGGACGATGCTTATCAGCAAGGAGAGTAAGGGGCAAGGTTGATGGTGATGAGCGGCGGCCTCGAGTCATCATGGCCACGGCGTCCAGCACGTGGATGGCGCAGAGGCAAGGTCCCAGCTGGTGGCAGGTGCGAGGCATCAATCGGCGTGATGAGTCATTGATCCGTGCCTTCCTTTGCATGGCCACGATGCCCTGTGCTTCGTGCTTCACGAGTGCTTCGTGCTTCACGAGATGAAGAACCATACAATGTGAATGCAGTCATGTCAAACTTGCCAGAAGATGTACTCGTGGTTCCAAAGACTCGACCTGATCGATGGAGGTCCCCGATGATTCGCGCAGCATGTAATGCTGGAATTATTCTCCCGTCTCCCAATCACACCCAGTGGCAGCTTCCTCGTCAAGTCAAATATTGGTAGCATCGGATCTCTGCACGCATGCACGCAGGCACCGAGCATGCAGACACCCTCCATCGCCATGCGGCTCCGCCCTACCATGCATCCCGCCTTGTCATTTTGGGAAGGTTGACAGACACGGCCCATCGCGCCATTCTCGACAGAGCATGGGGCTCATGACGACATGAAAACGTTGGTTGGCTTGGTTGGGTCAGGCATTTGTCTCTTCTGTCGATTCACGGCAAAACTTCCAAGTCATGAAGGGAATTGGCATCATCCTCGCACCCATTGAACCCAACTTGCATTCAATCCATCGACCGCAGACCAGGCAGGCATTACCGGACCAGGCAGGCATTACCGGACCATGAGGCAGGAGGCACCGGCAGAAAAGCGGGTCGCTTCGGCACGGCGGGGCCGGCTCTTGCGTGCTCGCCCCGTGGACTGACGATCCGCCGTTCCTCCTTACGACCTGCCCTGTTGGGGATGCCAGTCCACGATGCTGTTTTCTGTCGAGCCATGGTCCCGCCAACCACGGCTTCTGGCAACGATCGACCGACGGCCTGGGCGGATTGCGACATGCGCCGCGGCTGCAGTCCTCCTGGGGCGCCGACTTGGCCATACACGGTTCGTCAGCTCGTCAGCTCGTCAGCTCCTCAGGTCGTCAGGTCGTCAGCTCCTCAGCTCGTCAGCTCCTCAGCTCCTCAGCCCCGTCAGTCCGCCGTGGCATCAGGGCAACTCTAGCCAATCCTTGCGCGCCTCTCCCTCTCTTCGCCGTACCTCAATGTTGCATTCACACTCGACCGCTTCAGAGCGTTGCACCCATCGTCCCTCCGCCAAGGCCCCGGGCCAGCACACCACTTTGCCGCACGTGGAGATGGCATAGGTAGCTTCCTAACTCGGAAACCGGAAACCGTTGGTCATGGACGATGCTCTCATGTGCTGCATAAATACTCTTGCAATACGACCTTCTACACTGGCGGTCGGCCTACCCGTCTTCTTGCAGCCTCGTCCTCCTCTTCAATTGGTATTCCCTGGAGCCTCTTTCTCGACTGCGTCGTCATGAAGTTCCGAACTGCCACCCTCGCGGTCCTCGCCACCGCCGTCGCCGCCACCGAGTTTGTCACCTACGACGGCTATCAGGTCTTCCGCGTCGCTACCGGCAGCGACTCGGCCACCGTCCAGGCCCAGCTCGAGGCTCTCGATGCCATTGTCGAGGATGACCACCACGCGCCCGGCCACCTCGACGTCGCCATCGCCCCCGAGAACCTCGACGCCTTCAAGGCCCTCGGTCTCGCGAGCGAGCTGCTCCAGGAGGATCTCGGCGCCGACATTGCCGCTGAGAGCCAGGGCAACGTCTACCAGCGGAGTACGTCTCCTCTTTCAGCTGTTGGCCGGCCGAGACAAAGGCTCCCCCCCACGTCATTCGTCCGCACCGTTGAAACTTTGAATTGCTGGCGCTGCCGCTGTTGCTAACTCTCTCTCTCTCTCTTTTTCTTCACACAGGGCAAAACGATGATTCTACGCTGCCCGACCTGTCCTGGTGGGACTCGTACCACCCCTACGCCGAGCACGGCGACTTCTTCGACGACCTGCACGCTTCGTTCCCCAACAACTCGGAGCTTTTCGTCGCCGGCAAGTCGTACGAGGGCCGTGACATTTACGGCATCCACTTCTGGGGCAAGGACGGCAAGGATGCGAACCCTGCCGTGTCGTGGCACTCGACCGTCCACGCACGCGAGTGGGTGTCTGCTCTGGTACGTGGCAGAACCCTGTTTCGAGCGAAAACGACGGGTCGACGGCGGCGTCCATCGGACCCCAAGGCTAACAACGGCCGCAGACGACCGAGTACCTCGCTTACAAGCTCATCTCGGGCTACCTCGAGGGCGACAAGGGCACCCAGGCCCTCGTCGACAAGTTTGACTACTACGTCATTCCCTTTGTGAACCCCGACGGTGCGTCTCCGAGCATGCTCGCTCTGCAACGTTCCAACCCCACTGACCCAACCTCCAGGTTTCGTCTTCACCCAGACGTCAACTCGCCTCTGGCGCAAGAACCGCCAGCCCCGTGCCAACACGACGTGCGTCGGCACCGACGGCAACCGCAACTGGCCCTTTGGCTGGCACTACCCGGGCGGCGCCTCGGACAACCCCTGCGGCGAGACCTACCGCGGCCTCGCCGCCGCTGACACGCCCGAGATTGCCTCGCTCGTCGCCTGGACCGAGACGGTCAAGGCCAAGCACGGCGTCAAGCTCTTCATCGACTTCCACTCCTACGGCCAGTACGCCCTGCAGCCCTACGGCTACGACTGCTCCGTCGTGCCCCCCAACTTTGACCGCCAGGTCCACGTCGCCAAGTGCTACGCCGACGCCGTCTTCGCCGTCAACGGCTCCAAGTACGTCTACGGCTCCAGCTGCCGCGAGCTCTACGCCACCACCGGCAGCGCCCCCGACTTTCCACGCCGGCGCCGTCGAGGCCGAGTTTGCCTGGACCATTGAGCTGAGGCCCGCCTCCGCCGGCGCCGGCGGCTTTTGTCCTGCCGCTCGAGCAGATCCGTCCCAACGTCGAGGAGCAGTGGGCTGTCTGCAGTACGTCCTGGTCCGGTCGCGTAGCTTGCTGCGGGTTGGGGGTACGATAGCGTGGCTGCAGTTCGATCG